AGTGGCTCTTTTTGAAAGTTTAAAAGACATATTGAAGAAAGTCTAGGAGCCAGCAGGTAGAGTGGTGGTTAGGGTCTGGACTCCCACATGGCCAACCATGGTTCGAGTCCTAGGCCTGGAGGCTTGCTTTCTCTCTCTCTCTCTCTCTCTCTCTCACCCTGTTTAGTCAAATTGAAATAAATAAATAAATACAGTTAAATAATTCTTTAAAAAGAAAAATAAGTAAATAAAAGCCTAAAATCCTTTTCTAGCTAGAATTTTGCTGAATATGTTATGGAGATAGAGTAGAAAAGTAGATTTTCTTTTTTTTTTTAAGAATTATTTTACTTAACTTTTATTTATTATTATTTTCCAGTTTGATCAGAGAGAGACAGACAGACAGAAAAGAAATCACCCTTCAAGAGAATAGCCACGCGGGAATCCCTTCTCCATTCTCCTCTCAGGATCTTGGGCACACACAGACCCGGCATGGGCTTAAGCCACCGGGCCCAGGACTTGAACTGTGGTCAACTAAACGGGAGTCCAGCAACATAGCCATTATGCCAACTGCTGGTCCTGATTTTTTCTTAATTTGCTACAGGACATATGTGCTTATCAGAGCCAAAGAGAGAGAGAAAAAGTGAGAGAGCAAGTGCCAGGTCCAGGACTTGAACCACTGTCAGCCATCTGGGAGTCTAGCAACTTAAACACTATGCCACCTGCTGGCCCTTGGTCATTTATTCTTAGTTACTTAATCTGCTGGTATTTATTGGCTATCTCTAATAGTCTCATATAAATGGGTTTTAATAACACAAGATCTAGCCCTGCTATAGTCAACACAGGGGTGTACTACCCTGTGCACCGTATCACTGTATGGTAGCTACACCACTGTCTGGTAAGTCTTTATATCCATGGCTGTTTCTTCCTTATTAGTCTGTGTGTTCCTGAGGCTAGGGAACATAGCAAATAGTCAGATGATCGGTAATAGAGAGCTTCAGAGATTATAAATCCACGGACATTTTGGATATTATGCAACTTGAGGTTTATTTCATCTTTTTTAGCAGCAGTCCCCAGTTGAGGTATGGTGTAAGGTTTGGGTAAATGTGAACAGTCAGCTTCCTGACAGACTCCTCTGACACTGCCCTGGAAAAGTGGAGCACTGACTCACACTGCCTTACTGTAGGCTGGTAGGTAGAAAGGCAGCTTCCCCTTTGGTCCTGCTAACACCTTCCTGGTGAAAGTGGGACACTGACCTATCCCTCTTGGACTTGCACGACATCCTTGCCTCCTGGTGGGGCTGTGAGCTCAGTTCCCTGCTGCCTGACACCAGAGGGGGCTGGGGACCTGGATTGCTACCTCCCACCACCTTGTTCTGTCTCTTTCTGCCTTCCATCTGCCAGGTGTGGGTGGAGGCCCAGGTCAGCCCTGGAGAGTAGGGGGTTTTCTGTTAGTGTTTGCCTGCAGGAGTGTGGAGATGGCTGAGATTTTCTGTTCTGTTAGGCTTCCTCTTTCCCAGTCTTTTGGCTAGGGATACAGACTTTGCTTGCAGTTTTTCTTTGTTTTAATCTGTGCCTTTTAGTTCTGTTGAAGGCTTCTACAGCAACCTGTCTGGAATCTGTAGGAGGTAATAAGGAAATCCAGGGGACTCATGGCTTTGTTCTTCGAGCCCTGAGATCCCTGTGTAGTCTGACTCCTTCTTTCCATCTTTCAGAGTCTTCTGATGCCTGTTGGATTATGTCCATGTCTTTTTAGTTGTAAGGGGAAAGACCTGAAGGAATGGAGCTGGCTCCAACTCGCCCAGAACCAGAAGTCACATCCTTCTTTGCAATGAGGAGGCTAACCCTTTATAAAAAACATTTATTTATTTATCTATTTATTTGCTGTGATTTTTCAAGCCTCTAGGTCTGGTTCAAACATAGTTGGCCGTGTAGAAACCCAGTACCTTAACTACCATGCCACCTGCTGGCCTCAAAGCTAATACTTTTAATTAGTTCTCAATAGAAGTGCTTTTAGCATAGTGATTTTCAAACTGAACTCTCTAAGAGATCTACTTAATTTTTATTTAAAAAAAGGGGCCGGTAGGTGGCGTAGTGATTAAGGGCACTGAATTCCCACATGACTGACCTCAGTTTGAGTCCCAGACCTGGCGTCTTGCTTTCTCACTTTCTCTCTCTCTCTGGTCAAATTAAGAAGAAAGAGAGGGAGGGAGGGAACAGAAGGAAAGGGAAGGAAGGAAGAAAAAAAGTTAAATAAAATAATTATTCAAAAAAATGTTTTTTTTTTTTTTGGAGAGGTTTTTGCTGTAGGGTGCGTGCGCTCGCCAGAGAGACAGAAATCAGCCCCCGGAAGATGGCCATGCCGCAGTCCCTTCTCCTCTATTCTCCTCTCGGGAACTTGGGCACGCACACATGCACCTGGCATGAGTTTAAGCCACCAGATCCAGGAATTGAACCACGGTCGACTACATGGGAGTCCAGTGACATATTCATTACGCCAACTGCTGGTCCCCCCAAAAAAGAGTTTTGAGGCCAAATAAAAAACTTGAAACCACTGCTCTAGAACACTCCCCTAAAATTCACATCCAGAGCTTTTTCCACGTCTGTGTCTCATAACTAGTCTTTGAGCCATGGGAAGTGGGGCCTCTGTTATACTTATTTCTAGCACTTGAACATGCCCAGCACATAGTATGTATTCAGTACAAGTTTATGAAGGGACAGGGTCATTTATGCAGCCCTAGCTTCTCTTCCTTGTAGTTCCTTCACTGCCTTCTTCCTCTGAGGGACTTCTTTTCTCTTGCAGGTATCCTGGATACAGCCATTGTTGATCGTGGGAGGAACGTATTGTCTGGTTCTCGAGATGGAACTGCACGACTTTGGGATTGTGGGCGCTCAGCCTGCTTGGGAGTCCTTGCAGACTGCGGCTCTTCTATCAATGGAGTGGCAGTGGGTGCTGCTGACAACTCCATAAACCTTGGCTCTCCAGAGCAGACGCCCAGTAAGTTGATAACAATATGTGAACTTGTTTTGTTTTCTCAGGCCGGTTTAGGCCCCCTCAGTGTTCACTCCCCACCCCCGTGCATTCGTTCCTACTCTGTAGCTAATATTTCTGTTTTCGCATTGAGATTAATATTTATTGTGTGCCTACTATGTTTCTGTTGCTTTGGAATATACAAAGGAAGTATATGTTATAGTATATTTGAATTAATTATAATCTAATTTAGCAGATGCAGCTAATGTCTATAAAATATCTAGAGAACAACAACATTTGACTGAAATAAATGAGTGATTCTTCATGCAAATATGATATGTTTTCAGGGGAAGGGAATGTTTCGGGTTGGTATAGGCGTGAAAGGTGTCACAGAAGAAACTGACTTAAACCTTGAAGGATGAATTTAGGGTGAACTGATAAGAATGGGAAGAATAGGAGACTGGGAACTGGGGCAGGGGTGGCTTACTTTCTCACTTTCTCTCTTTCTCTGTCTCTGATCAAATTAAATGAATGAATAAATAAAGCTAAATAAATAATTCTTTAAAAAATAAAATAAAATGAAACTGCTATAAACCGTTATATGCAGGGTTTTTGGTGGACCTAAATATTCAACTCATTTGGGTTAATTTTTCCCCTTATTTTTCTTTTAACTTTTAATTCATTGTCATTATTTTATTTTATTATTATTTTTAAAGTTGATGAGAGGGAAAAACGTGAGAAAGCAAGCTGCCAGGTTTGGGACTTGAACTGAAATTAGCCATGTGGAAGTCCAGCTGCCTTAACCACCATGCCACCTGCTGGCCCCAACCCTTATTTTTTTCACCCTTTACTTTTTTTTTTCTATAGGAGGTGGTCTCCCCTACTTTTCTTTCTTTTTTTTTTTTTTTTTTTCAGAGCTTTTTACCTGAGAACATGTGTGTTTGGGAAGGGCAGGGGAGGGGCACAGAGACAGAGGGAAGTCACCTCATTTCTCACTTCTCTATTCTCCTCCCAGGATTTTGGACACACACACACACACACACACACATGTGCTTGGTGTGATTTTCAAGCCACTGTGTCTGTGACTTGAGCC